TATTATAGCAAGGCAAGACATTAAAATATAGGTAACAAAGAAATTTTTTTTGTTGATAAACCGTATGAGTTCATTGATCCATAATTTATTCCAGTGTCCGGAACCAGCCGTTGATTATACCATGTTTAAAATTTATATCACTCTTTTATAAATGAACTTGAGTTAGTGATCTTAATATTTAATATTTACTCTCAAAACCACTAGACCACCACCGATTAGTAACTAAATAAACATTTGGTACAATGACTTTACTTGATGTTCGGTCTGTTTGCGTACTAATGATAATAAATAATGTAGTTTGTGCATTATTATGGATTACCAAATGGACACTTAGATATAAGAAGGATGGAGGTTAGGATAGTGGAGCAATCTCCCAAATTCCTTTCACACTTTTTTTTTGGGTCACAATTCCCTTCACACTTACGTTCCTACTTTTTGCGACACGAGCCGTGGGATGATATATGAAACATATAAAAGTATATGGACAATTTTGTGTGAATCCCCTTTCATAAATAGTTAAATTGACAAAACAAGAGGATTTGATCCTAATTAAATTATGAAAACCTTACTTTTCACAAACATTTTTTGGGAAATCCTATTATTTTTAGAAAGGGTCATTTGCAATAATAACAAAAAAAAACTATAATTAGGAATCTTAGAAAAAAACAGAAAGAGATAGTGAGATAAAAAGGAGAATTTTGGTTAGTTTGTCTATTATAGATTTTTTGTTGTATTTCTAACAAATAATCCTTTTTAGAAATATATTAAAATATTCAAAAATAAATTTTGTATAAGTCCCCCAACACTTTTTTTCCCCGTCCCTTAAGTTAATTATCTTTGTTAACGTGTTTAGGACAGATAGTATCATAATACTAGAGCTTTCGTATTCGAAGAAAACATTAGTGTGATTCTGTTTCGTTAATTTATAAATTTATAAATTTTAGAAGGTTTCAAGCAATTATCTGAGATATTTTAGAAGGTGGCGTCTGGACACATATTACAACAAACTTTTTATTATTACAACAACTTTTTATTATTCATTTTTTTATAGAGCTCTTTGTTATTAGTTAGAGCATCATTATTGATAAAACCTTTAAAAATATTTTAGAGGTAA